AATCTTCAAAATAGTACAAAAGTATAAGAAAAGTGAAGGAAAATATCATTAGAAAATAATTCCAAAAGAGAAGATGTTGAAATGGTTATCACACAACTCTCTATTTCTGGTTGCAGGCTCTGGAGATTCTTTCTCTGCTTTCAGACAGGCTTGCATTCCCTAACAAGTCCTGCTACCAAATCCTGGTTTCCAAGGCTGGAACAGTGTCTCAGGTTCAGCTGGGTGTGTATTCAATTACCATCTGTTAAAGGTGTGGGCAGTTATCATTAGGAAGTTAATTAGGAAGTTGACTTTATCTCTTCCATAACCAATCATCCCTCTGGGAAATATCTTCTGCTAATGGGCCATTGAGTGTCACTGCATGACTGATAAAAATGACATCATCCCATTGTGCGATGCTCCACCCAGAGGGAGGAGCCAGCATTCCTACCTGGATATAATCTGAGCCTTGAAGCACCACAGCCTGCCTTTTCCTACTGGATTCCCAGAAAAGCAGCTTTCAGCTCCACTGTATTCCCAGAGAAAGACCAGGCCCATCTCCACCACCACTGGACCTTCAGAAGAAAACTTCACCCTTCTTCAGGATAACTGCTTCAACAGAGACACAGCTGTCACTGCAGGAGGACCTCAGCCACCATTTAATGGGACTGCTGCCAACACCCTGACCCACAGGGTGTCGGACTCGGTCAGTAGGGGTTTTGTTGTTTGTCCTATTGCATTTGTATTTTAAAAATTTTCCTGGTAAAGGATTGTTTCCTCTGGCACAGAGGTGAATCCCATCCTGTCTTTGTCCTTCCTTGCCAGACAATGAGCTGAAGATGGAGACCAGAGTTGACAAATCGCCATGCCAGAACCTCATGGAAGAGGCTGTTTTGAGCGGCTCCATGGAACAGGAATCCAGCAAGGAGCAAAAGCCCCAGGGATCCCGCATGTGGAGGGCCTCCGAACGCAGCCCAGGGTGCTCTGAGGATGAAAGACCCAGCCTGTGTCAGGAAGGTGGACAGAGCTTCAGCAAGATGTCAGAGCTGGTGGTCCATGAGCAGCTTCAGGATAGAGAGAAGCCCTACAAGTGCCTGGAGTGTGGGAAGAGCTTCAGACAGAGCTCTGACCTGCTCTGCCACCAGGTGATCCACACCAGGGAATGGGCCTACGAGTGTGGGGAGTGTGGGAAGGGCTTCAGGTGCAGCTCTGAGCTCATCGCCCACCAACGCATCCACACCGGGGAGAGGCCTTACGAGTGTCCTGAGTGTCCAAAAAGGTTTCACATCAGCTCCCATCTCCTTCTGCATGAGCGGATTCACACAGCCGAGAGGCCCTTCCGCTGCCCTGACTGCGGGCAGGGCTTCAAGCATAACTCCCACCTTGTCAGGCACCAGCGCATCCACACTGGGGAGAGCCTGTACAGGTGTCCCCAGTGTGGGAAGAGCTTCACCCAGGGGTCTAACTTGACCAGACACCAACGGAGGCACC